ACACAAATGCCATTTCCTGCTACTCTTTTAACATCTTTAATGTTGACTTTTATCTTGTGCAGTTCCATAGTGTTTAGGTCTTTAGATTCTATTTTCTCCATGTTAGGGTTATTTCCATGGTCATTTTCCTTTGGATAAATAAGGATGACGTGATTTCCACTGGTTCCTTCATTGTTAATTTTTCTATTAACTGCTTCACTACTCTTGTTCTGATTCAAATGCAACTAAGAAATCCACAAAAAATTTATTTTTTATATGAAATAATTATTTCTGCTTAAACGCAAATCTGACATCCAAAAAAATTGCCAGGAAATAATTCCTGCGAAATAAAAATCCCCAAAAAGTGTTTTTACAAATAAAGTATATAAAAAAATAAAAATAATTTAAAATAAATGCTTTTATTTGAAAAATAAAGCTGTAAGGATTGTTACTCTTTCATTTAGCAAGGCATGAAATTTCACACATGCAGTCTATATTGTTTACAAACTGGTTGACCTTGAGAACAGCTGGAGTCCACTTTTCCAGGTAGTTCTCATGTACGCTTCTGGGGAATATTGCTTTAAAGCAGGAGGGGACTAACTTACCCCATGTGTTTAAATATAACACAATATTGTTGATTTTAATGCTATTAAATTATGAGGGGACTGAAAAAAAGGTATGTGGAAAAAATTCTACAGAACAAAAAACAAAAAAAAAAAAACCTGCTGATGTCATAAAAAACATCCAATAGCATTTTAAAAAATTTTACTGAAGTCAAATCAGTGAAATAGAAGTTTAGAACAATTTAATTAATTTGATTAAAAAACTCCCATAAAAAACAATAGCGCAATTAATTACCTAGTTAATAAATTGTCATAAAATATTTTGTGGCAAAAATAATTCATGAAATTTGCACAGATCATAGATAACGATGTATATATGCTGATCCATACATTTTCAGAAAAGTTATAAGTCAAGGCTTTTTTTAATGGCCCTTTAAAGTCCATGCCCGAGATATCTTGGGATATGGACTGTGCAGCGTCACGCACAGCCCAAGTTATTTCGGGCTATGGGTGGAAAGGGTTAATAGTTTGGCTAATGACCCTAATTGTTGAGCTTGGCCTGGCTGGCTGCCTGATATTGTCTGAGTATTTCATAAGTTGAGTTGTTGTTTTCATGTCACTGCTTCCTTTTTCCTGTATGCCGTTCCCGAATTAAGCTAAGATGCCAACCGTTTGATTAAGATAACCAAACAATCACAAGACATGCTCTCTTATTTCAAGATGCTCTTCTTTCTTGATTGTTGTGCTTGTACTCTCAGGGTATAAGTCCATAATGCAACCAAGTCTACAACCAGCATCATTTAAGATAGAGGTTTCAAGTAATTCAATACGAACAGTGGGTTGAGTTGTTTCTGCACTGTCCTCCTCCATCTGAAGCCTGTGGTGCTTAGATGAGTCCATTAAACAAAGGAGTATATATTGTTCACCGAGTTGGCAATAGTCCACGTAGCCACCAAAAAAAAAAACACCAATCGGCATGACAATTCATACCACTGGAAAACTGTACAGACAAAACCACAAACAAATTAAAGTAACTGAATGCAGTAAAATGTATTGAAAAGAATGACACATGCACAAAAAAATACAGCTGTCTGAAAAAATCCCACCAAATAAACTCAACATTTGCCAATCGGCTGAAACACTTTGAGGTAAATTAAGAAATCAGTCAGCATAAAATAAATAAAACCCAGCAATAAAATGTAGCTTAAAGTAGCTACAAACCGATTGTTTACTGTGGAAGATTTTGTTAATGTCACAAGAGACAGAAAACCACAATGTCAAATGGCTACACTGCAATATTGCCAAGAACAATACCCTTTGTGTAAGCTGAACAGCAGACTGTTCAGCTCACACAAAGGGTATTGTGTGAGCTGACAACACCGATTACACAAAAAATAAAAAATGAAAGTTAGCAATATTAACAGGAAACATAACAGACATTACATAATAAATATAACCATTGACAGCAAATTAAAAAAATGTACCAAATGCTCAATGCGAGCATGGTGATAACTTTCACAGGAATAGCCCAAATCACAAAAAAGTAATACTTACTAAAAGTGTTTAATCCCCTGATTCCAACGATACATAGTAATCATCAACAATGCACACACTTAACAAAAATCATGACCAAAACACAAAGCCGAGATAAAACACAACTACCCAGTTCAAACGTCCAGGGTCCAATCCTTATCCACTAAACTGTCTTTCTTCCATCACATGGCAGAAGAGTGGAAACATTATTTAGACAAATTTTATTGGTTAAATTTTTCAGATAAAAAGGAGACGTCACCTAACTTGGGGCAGTTCTTAGTGATTCCGAACAATCTTTGAGATTCCTGATCATTCATAATCGTTCTCTGAAGAAAATCTACAGCTTAGAATTTTCCCGCCTAAAGAAGAAAAGTTATCCATGACCTCCAATGCCTCGATAGACAGAAGGCAAAATACTGTCAAAAAGAAATAATAGAGAAAATATTATAGAGGTATATACTAATTAAAGTATGTTGTAAACTCTCTCTCTCCTTTTGAAAAAGTAAAAATCAAATATAGGATAATTTCTGTAGTCTCGAGAAAAGTAACAAAAATAAATTGTATTTAAACATGTTAAGATGTGGATCAGTAGAAATTATCTAGGTGTATTCACAATCTCAATTTTTTGTTAATCTTGATTTATATGTTTTGTTAATAAATTGAAATTTGATTTGATAGTGAGTATGTATGGTTACCTAAAAATTTATTATTAAGGTCTAACTCCATTGTCTTATCCACATCATGAATGTTCTCTCCTTTTTACTTCCTATTGATAAAAATGTCAGTGTCAATTATCCTAACTGGTATCAGGAAGCCTGATTTTTCAGTTCAGAACTAAATTAAACTGCCATCTGGTATGTATGACTAGGTTGACAGGAGCCCTGAAAATTCACACTTACTTATGCAAATTTGCTAATTTAAAAAAATAAGAATTCTTTTTAACAAGCAGCAATTCTAAAAAACAAATTTTGAAGACAGAGATTAAAAAAGGAAAACTGCATACTTTTACTAGAAAGTAAGTAGACAAAGTTGGTTAGATTGAACCTAATTATTCTGAACTGCTATTTGAGAGATCTCGATTACAGTGAACTGCCTCCAAGCACAACAGGTAGTAAACCATGTGCTTCTCCTTTTCTTAGAAAACATTTGCTGTTTACTAGAAAGTACAGTATTATATTAGTTACTGACATTAACATAGCCAATGACTCATATTCTGATTAATATAGAATTTTTCACCCTTTCACATTCAATCACATTTATAAAACCATAAGTTATCCACTACTAATTCACCAACAGTAAAAAAATTGCAATGAGTAAAAAGTGAACACAATTGTCTATTACAAATAAACTCAACATAATGTGCGCACAATTGTCTATTACCAATAACCTCAACATAATCAATGAAGCTGAGATAGGAGCTAGCAGGAAAGATTTATGTGAGAAGTACAACATTGCCAGAAAACAATAAGTCAGATTTTGAAGGACAAATCAAAAGTGGAAACCAATGCTCATAACTTTGGACAGGTGAGTTAAAGTGATCAACATCAATGAAATTACAAAGTCATTACATAATGTAAATAATCTAGGACAGAAAGAGGGCCAGAAAAAACAGTTCTCCAGACCTAGATGCACTCCTAAGATGGTTTCAAGTGCAAAGATCCAGAAATGTCTCCATGAGTGGACTGCTGTTACTGTTGAAATTGCAGGAATTTGTTAGAGCTCACTCAACATTGTGGATGCTAAGGACAACTATGTGACCATTTCTTCAGGTTGGATAGACCATTTTAAAGCTTGACATGGCATCAGCATGCACAAGTCTGTGGGGAAGTGGTGGCAGTAGACAAGGAATAAGTGGATAACTGGATCAAGAATGTTTACCAATGTTAGCTGCCAGATATTGTCCCAGTAACATTTAAAATGCAGATGAGAGTGGACTATTTTTCAAGGCCCTGCCATCAAAAACTTTAGCCTTCAAAAGTTTGGGTTCTTGACATGAGAAAGTATAATTAAGTTTATCATTAAATGTATACTCAGACACAACTTATTATTAGGACCTTATACTGGTGTTTTTGGATATTGACACAAAGATGAGATCTGAGTCAGAAAAAACAAAATTTCTTTATTATATCACCTGTAGTAATTTTTTCTGTACACATGTTACATGTGTTTCAGGTTAACATGTCCCTCATCAGCAGTATTACTACAACATTCTAAAATATAACAAACAAATAAATAAAATACTAAAATTAAGAATACAAAAATTACCCGACAATAAAACTTTTTAAAAAACTTACAGTAAATTTGCATCCAAATACAATATACAACAAAATTATATTTCAAAGGAATTTAAATACAAAATTGCATAATATCATTTTTCTGTATTAAATAAAAATAGAAACAAGAGTTTGTTCACTTTAATTTTTACTGTACTTTCAGGAGACAGATGTACTCATGGCAAGATGTCAAAGGAAAGAGAGACAATCCTCATCTGTTCAAATGCTACTGGAACTGATGATAAGAAATTGATGGTATTGTAAAGTCCACTGTAATTATGCCAAAATTTCCATTCCAAAGTTATGGTAAGTTTAGTAAAGTGTCATGTTTTCAAAGTTACTTTAGATGTAAGGGGCATGTCAGTGTGGGTTATGCGAAGATTTTATTTCGATTTCTAGCAAATTCTTGCAGGGTATATGTTAATGCAGATTATACACTGTTGAGAATTATTTGTAAGAAATTACAGTTAATTGAAACTTTCATTTATTATTTTCACAATCAAGAATTTCAACAGAATTTGATAAAATTTCATTTTTTCTAGTTATATGCTTGTAAATTTATAAGGAAAAATTATAAGCTAAATAGTTTGTAATCAGTTTTTGAATATAATAGAATAATTAAATTACAGAAAATTTTATTTCAAGTAAATACCTGACTTTCTTGTACTTTAGATTTGAACCGTGGTGTATTATTTTTCTGCTCTTCTAATTTTCTCAATTTTTCATTTAATTCCTATAAAGATATAAATTAGATAATGCGAACCATAAGGAATTTCAGACTTTTGAATATACTTACTCTTTCTTTGACAGCTACATACGCCCAGGCAAACTCATTTCTTAAATGATTAAGTTTTTCGTGTTGTTTTTTTAATGACTGATAAAACTCCCATTTCTGTTTCCATTCATTAACTTCTTTTTCCAATTCAGGAAGAGTCTAATTGAGTCAAACAGTATACTATTATAATGTGTATTACATTAAAATATTTACAATCATTATGCTATTTGCTTGTCAGCTATTTTTAAATATATAATTAATAAATTCTATTTTTCACAATCATTACTTCATATTTTACACAATTCAGCCAGACAGATTATTAATTGCTCATGGAGTCACAACTATCTGGAAGAAAATACTTTATTTATTTACTAATTCTATATACAAAGTGGTCCATTTATAATGTCAATTGTAAATATCTCCCAAAATATATATTAAATTAAAAAAGAGTCATTATGAAAGTTTATTATTTTGAAGGGGTCTTATATACCATATAAAAGTTAAGCCCTCATTCCCCTTGTGAGTGGGGTGAGGGCTAACTTTTGATTTTCAAATGGTAATATCCAACTTTTGTTTTTTATTTTTGAATTCTTTACTAAAAAATATTTTATTGTAAACAATTTTTTCAATTAACATTAATTTAAAAAATCAATAGTACTCTTAGTATTTTTGAAAGATAAAGCTTTAAAATTTATTTTTTTATATTCTAATTTACTACAACTAAAAAAATAACTAAAACCAAAAATAAACAATTTCCATTATAAATTTATGTAAAACATAAAAGTTTTTAGAAAAACATGTAGAGTGTTCATTTCAGCAAACATTCAAAGAGGTGACCATTGACTTCAATGAATTTCTCAACATGTTTTCAGAAACTCTTCACAGTACTCTGCAAAATCTGTGGGTCAATTTGATGTGCAATTATCAACAATAATTAGTTGCATATTTTCATGTGTCACTGGTACTCCAGAATAAAACTTTTCTTTTAGCATTCCACCAGAGACAAAAATCTGGAGATGTCAGATCTGGTGTACAAGCCAACCAAGAAATTGTTCTTCCCATACTATCCACAAGTTAGGAAAATCACTATTCAAAATTTGATGAGCTTGAACTGAATAATGAGCTAAGCAATTATAATGTTGAAATCATATTCAATTGTTGGTGTATGCATTTATAATTTTTTTAATCTGTCAAATGCAATATAATTTGACAGATTAAAAAAAATGATAAATGTTAATCCCTTTTAATCATTTTCAATAATCTTTTTTATTTCTATTTTACCTTCTTTACAGGAAAGCTTTATTTTTCAAAAATACTAAAATTAATGTTAATTGAAAAAACTGTTTAGAATAAAATGTTATTACTTTTCAATAAAGGAAGCAAAAATGCAAAAAAATTGCGGGTTTCCATCAAAAATATAAAGTCAGACCCCACCCCACTCACAACAGGGAGGGCTTACTTTCTATGTGGTACAAAAGGCCCTCCAAAATAATAAAGTTTTGTATAAGACATTTTTTCAATTTAATGTATATTTCAGAAAATATTTGCAATTGACATTATAAATGGACCACCTTGTATACATACACTGCTAGAAATGAAATCCCAACATCAAGGAGTTATATTAGGTGAATGAAAATTATACTGAATATTTATCTGATTTGTTACATTGATACCAGTTTCAAGGTCAGAACTCAGGATGCATTTACCATACATACCATAGCAAATACAAATTAGAATTTCCAACAGATGTGTGGAGCTGTTTATAAGCATTAGTGTGACTGTGTGGTATGCTTGACAGGGTAGATTTTCATTCCAGTGTCATCACAAAAACTACTTGAAACCATCTACTGGAGAGTGTCTTCCACTCCAGACATACTGTGACATGTTTGCCACTCATTCCTTCTACTATCAGATGACTTTTCAGTGGTGCCATGCAACGGTCCATTGGAAAGCAGAATGGAATTGTGGTATTAACAGACAGTAGCCATTTTTGCCTTGATACCAGTGATAGACTTATATCAGGAGAAAGCTAGAGAACATCTGTTGACAAGCAGCATCCATCATTAACATGCTAGACCAACCCTTGACATTATGGTCTAAGAAAGGATTTCATATGACAATAGAATGGTTATCCTAAACACCATGGCAGTAAACATTTACATCAAAATAGTGAACAAACCCATTGTTCACTATTTTGATTATTATACATTATTCACAAACAGTATTGAAGGAACCTGTTTCAACAGGTTAATGCTTGTTCTCATACTGCAGTTACAATATGACACACTTTTTGAGATGTCAATGTGTCACCCTGACCAGCAAGATCACCAAATATTTTGTCAGTAGATGGGGCACGACTGGATGTTAGATCTAGGCTCATCCAAAACAGGCCAATCTGACCCAACAGGTGCAGCAAGTGTAGAATGCTATCCATCCTACACTTCTACAATCAAATGCATGCACATGTGGACACCTGTATTAAACTGGCAGTAACTTCTGGATATTGAGATGGATGACATTCAATCTTTATGTGGTGCTGCATGTGCAGTTTGTAAGTTATACTCTTGAAACACATATGGATGTAATTAAGGTTTCCAGGTGGAAATTCCTTTCTGCCCATTCTTGGGAAATTTTTTTGTTTTCCTGTTCCCAAATCCCAAGAAAAGTTGGTTAGAAAAGTGACAAAATCAGCTCCTAGAACCCAGTAATACCCACAATAGGAAATAAATGTACTACTCTCAATGTATCTTTTAGACATTTTTCCTATTTATCACTATGTAAACTTATATATAAGTTTACATATATATCTGGTGACAATATTACATGCCACCAGAATCAGATAACACATGACCAGCTAATTTTAGCTCTTGTATATTAAACACATTTGATCATGAAGAACAGAAAAAGTTTGTATCTACACAGAAAATCATTTATTTTTACAATCCAGGATTTGACTACAAAATCATCTTCAGGTATACTAAAGAAATCTAAGATATTTTACCTTAATACAACATTGTAGTCAAATCCTGGGTTGTGAAAATAAATATTTCTCTGTTGCTGTTCTTCACGATGAATCATTTCCACAAAGCGACAGCTAACAATACCAACCATATTCGATCAATTTGTTTGTGGCTGATGATTGTGATGTACAGTAAAACCTTATTATTTTGAAACTAAAAAAAACTTTGAATTAGCCAAACTTTTTTCAAATGAAACTTTCTGTAATTCTCAAATAGAATTATGACATTATCTAATATAATTTAACCCATTTTTTTTACAAATATGTTAATATTACAAGCTATTACTTAAAAATTTAAGCTATTTCAAAAGAAAATTGCCAGTTGAAAGTTGGAATTTACTTAATGAAAACATAACTAAATTACATTCAGAGCAAGACATGAAAATAATGTACAAAAGATGCTTAGCCATTATTACAAATCATCAATGAAAATTAAATATAAAAGAGTATTTCGGGAATTCTCAGAAAACATGATTTCTGAAGGTTCCAAAATGTCGAGAATTTAGAAACCCTAAATGTAATAAACATGCAGATAAATATTTTCTGTAATTTTTGTTCATCTTGTATAACTCTNAGTGTTTCCTCAGAAAATACTGTACTGTACTTGTATGTATTGTTTACTTGAGAATATAACAGAGAATAAACTGCCCAAATACCCTTAAACAAAGGAAAAGTACGTCCTTTATGAAGGCATAAAACCTTTACTACATGAAAATGAAAATTAATGAATACACTGTGCTGTTCCAATTGTGTAGCTTTAAGGAAAAACTGAAAAATAAATGTTTATAACTGAATATATAAAATATCTTTTAATCATAAAATAATTTATGCTAAATAATTTGTTAGATTAGAAAAAATTAATCCATTAACCAATGCATTTGCAATTCTTTCTAGAATTACAATAATTCTCTCTGTTAAGCTAATAGGATAATATGTCCTGTTCTTTTAAATTAAATATACTGCATCCAACAGATATTCATATAACCTTATCATATGTATATCTTGAAAGCATTTCATTAAAGATATCTGATTACTTAAACTATAAGGGTGTGACCATAGGGTCGGCACCTCTTTGGCGCCCTGTCAGGAGACCAGAATCTGACCCCACCGAGTCTCTGGGGGACTCGGAAATCGCGACGTTACGTCTAAAGATTCGCGAGCAGTAGCGTGTGAGCGCTTGGATTCGGAGTAGAGGTGAGGAGAGAGACGAGGAAGTGACTCACTCGGACTCCATATGTTCTAACAAAAATTCCATTTTAATAATAAACAAAGAAAATACAGAGATATCGGGCATATTAGCGGACTTAATTATACTATTCCGTTCGAGAGAGAGAGTTTACAACCGAGTCGCGGGTTGATAAATACCTTTCTTTTTCCTAGGTCGCAGATCTGTAGTATGAGGACACTATGGACTCCTCTGAAATGGTCTTTCCACTAGTTCTTGTCCGTTAACTGGAACTCGGAGGCGTGGAAGCACGGAAGTGGGATTGAGATTCTTAAAGAGACACGGTGTTACTTCTGTCACAGTGTTACTTCGGGATTTTGGTGCACGGGTTTTATCCTGGGTTACGGTTTTAATCCGGGGTCACGATTTTAATCCTGGAGGACGACTTTGTTGGGCGGACTTTGGATGACGACTGACCTCGGGGTCTTTTTTTCTTTTCTCTTTTTCATTCCTCTTGGGTTTTTTCCATGAGGTCAGGTGATGGCCTTTAACGGTCGCACGTCCAATATGTCTTCTCCATCAAAAGTTCCTGGTGACACATCCCTGACTAACTTGATCCGACTCAACAAGGAACAAACTCCGTGGGAAATAATTTTTATGGCTTTTAGCCTAACTCGATAAAACGTTCGAATTTAACCGATTAAATTTTCCAATAATTAAAATTTAAAATAACACTTTATTGTGGGTCTGTTCGTCCCTCACAAGGGTTTATCTAACCAATCTAATAAAATATTTGCTCTCTGCTCTTTTGTTGGTAATGATATAATGAGTATTTATGTTACCAGCACTAGATCCAAGTAAGTTTTGAAAGGACCAAAAATTGGATTTTCCACTCCTTATCTTGGTCAAAATACAGTAGCACCTCATAATATAATGGATTTGGATATATCATACTTTTTTTGGGCCCCCAAATTTTGAAAGCATTTGAGTCAATAAATTTTAAAATATTGCCATTGAATTTTTTTCTTGTAACAAAATACAGTACTTTTATTCCTACCATTGTCCTTGAAACTACAGTGCAGGTGAAACAATAAATTATTCAAGATCTAAATAAGCAAAACAGGCTGACAGATCAATTATCATTTATGTTTCCTTTTGATATTGAAAGCTGTTTATTTATTGGTTTTAAGTACTGTATCCTCATTTACAAGTTTCTGTAAATTTGAAATTTCACACTTTTTATATGAACTGACCCAATAATGTCAATTCTCATAAAGGTGTGAAATTTCAAATTCACTGTGTAATGTGTAAGGAAAGATTTCCTTATTTCTCAATGGAAAATTCTAAAATTTTTAAACAGTTGTAACTTTATTTTCTTTTTAGAGAATTTTTACTTTATAATTTTATAAGTTTTGATGTTCTATTATATGTTCATTATTTATTTTTTAAGTTTTCAATCACTGTATTTATGATTTTTATTGAAGAATATATTTAACAGAACGTGCTCAGCAAACAATTATACAATTATAACACACTTTTTTCATTGTCAAGATAGTTTTATTTATTTAAAAATAACATTTTCAACCTATTCTATAGGTCATCTTCAGGTTGAAATGGATTGAAACATCTGCATTCCATAAGATGGAATGCATACAACCCAAGAGGAGACCAACCTTCCTTGCCTTCCTCACTCTCAAGTCCAACCCTCTTACATGGACATACATTTTGTACAGCAGTACAGCCTGTACTGCACTTAGAGTTCTCTACCAAGAAGAGACCAGCTCTTAATAATGGTCAGTGCGTCCCCTATCCTAGAAAAAGGGACCCTGCCCAATGCATCCACTGAGCTTATAGGTCAAAGAAACCTACTACTTTCCTCATCAATTCCTTTAGTTCCGATAGGTTTCCTTTACTAGTTGCAAGTGTTCGAAGTACTTGTTCAGAAGGCTTAAACAGGCTGACTTCGTCAGCCCCTAGCAGAAATCCTCAGTGAGAACAGTCAAGTACAAAGTGCCTCACATCACCACAAGGACACTAACAGGAGCAGCTACAGGAGCAGAAATCTAACACCTGTCTATAATTTGTAGCACTGCATGTACCATACCATATCAACATACTTGATATATTATACAAGGTTGGTCTCCTCTTGGGTTGTATCACTAGAGCCAGAGTCCGAACACTTATCTCAGGTTCAACTTCTAAGTCCATACATCCAGTGGCTACTGGGTGCCAAACAAGTTTATGATTAAGACATAGTTGTCTGTACTCTGTAATACCTTTCCTTGTCTGAACTTGGACCTGAAATAGGGAAACTTTCCGTATCTGGTCAGTATTTACATTGTAAGCCAATCACAACCTTGCTGGAGTTCAGCCAACTTCAAGCATGAAGGTGTAGGTTGACCTGCCTATTTTATTTCTGAGTCCAGCGCTCTTGCCAGTATGTCATTGATCATTGCAGTAGAGTACCTTTTATGTAAGAAGCCGAGGGTTCAACAGTCCTCGTTACATGTGAGCCCCTGGCCACCTCCTTGGCCAGTTGGTTGGTGCGCTCATTGCCTGGGATCCCGATGTGGCCTTGGACCCACCTCAGGGCAACGTGTCATGCGTGCCTCACCCTCAGTACCCCACGTCTGATCTCCTGTACCAACTTGTCCTTGTGGTACAGTAGAACCTCGAAAACTCGGCCTAATGTGGACCGAAGGGTGGCCGAGTTTGTGAAAATGCCGGGTTATCGGGAATGGGGTTAAAAAAAATAAGTACGAGTGTTTCCTCAGAAAATACTGTACTGTACTTGTATGTATTGTTTACTTGAGAATATAACAGAGAATAAACTGCCCAAATACCCTTAAACAAAGGAAAAGTACGTCCTTTATGAAGGCATAGAGCCTTTACTACATGAAAATGAAAATTAATGAATACACTGTGTACAGTAATTTACCTGATAAGACAGACCTCAGAAAAATACTTTATGAGAGCTTTTATACTTTTATAAAGCTGTCTATAATGAAAATTAATTAACTAAGGATTTTTTGCCCTGCCAGGGGGTGCCCGAGTTATCCGGAGTGCCGGGTTATCGAGAGCCGAGTTTTCGAGGTTCTACTGTACTCGTTGCTCAGGGCCTGAAGTGATGACTGGCTGTCAGAGTATACTGTGACCGGCTCTGGACCTGGATGTTGTAGGATCCACTGGGACGCCCCTGGGCAACCAGTTCTACTTGGAACACTGGTGCCTCCTCGTTCAGTCTGACCAACTGACTGTACACTTGAACTCTGTCAGAAAAGTCACAGTACGCAACACCTACTAAGCTACCATCTTTAGAGCAATCAGTGTATATTTCAACACCACTGTTTGTCTGTTCACCGACATCCCAGTCTAATCCTATCCTATAAGTGGAATGGACTCTTAGTATGTTTCTCTGACATCTAAGTCTGATGACTGGGTACATCTGATTACAATGCTTAGCCTCTAGACCTTACACCATTGTTCTGTAGAAGGCTGACGACCAGAGGCAACAGAAGCAGTCCAGCCAAGACCATAACCGCCTCCGTAGACAATTCTGCATGCTTTCATTACCCGCAGGGCTGCAGGTCTCTGAATCATTAGCAGTGTCCTGCTTTGCTAGATAGTGGCAAAATCTTTCCACCAAATACCACAGACATACCAGATAACACATTCTACACTCATCTTGTAGATGGCTTGAATCATTTCTCCGCTAAGGCAGTAAGTCCTGTCTAGCTAGTCTCAATAGTGCCGCTATCGTGAGGTTTGTTCTTTCTCAAACATTCCTCAGATGGGGCATCCAGCATAGTGTCTGGTCAATGATAACACTGAGATACTTTAACTCATTCACCCTTTGAATACCCATTCAAAGGGTGAATGAGTTAAAGTACCTCAGTGTTATCATTGCCCGGATTCAGTATAATGGTCGGCATGCCAACACTCCAATCTGGGCCACTGTCAGGGCCTCTGATTTCTCAGGGCTGAAGGACAGCTTATGCAGCTCTTCCCAATGAACAAGCCATTCTATTGCTTCATTGCTGTAAATCTCCATTTCGTGTCTACTTATTCCTGCAACTACAAGCAACAGATCATCTGCGTAGGCCTGAAGCTGGATGTTGTCCAGAAGGATGAGCCTTAGCGTCTACAAGAATGTTCCAAACAAGGAGCCCTATGCATGACCCCTGGGGACAACTCCTCTGCAGTCTCCTAACAAATCTCGCATGGTACTCAACCGAGCAGTCAGTCACTCAGGAAACTCCTGACAAGTGTATAGAGTAGGTAGTTGTTGGTAGGTTAGCCTTCTGCAATTCACCCACTATGGATGGCCACCAGACATTGTTGAACGCCCCTGCAATGTCCATCGAAACAAGCAACATGTGGAGGCCATGCTGGTGGTTCTGGTAAACCAGGTTGACTGTCTGATGTAATGCCCGGCAGATCAACAAATCCAGCCATAACCCATATTGTTGTGGGTATAAAAGTCCTCGCCACTTCAAGTGATAAAATTCTCTGTCTAATAGGATTCTGTCTAAAACTTTCTCTAGGACTGGCTATAGGCTTATAGGTCTATAAGACTTTGATTCTGGTTCATTCTTCGAACACCTACTCTTATAAATTAACACAAGGTGCGCCTGCTTCCACTGCACTGGGAAGTGACCCAGGAGTAGACACTTCTGAAACAAGATACAGAGGTCTGGCTGTACAGTACCTGCTGTAAAACTTCTACCATTTCAGCCATAATCCCATCAACACCAGGTGCTGTCCCTTTCCTTACGTTGCCAATGGTATGTGCCACCTCAGAGTTGGTCACCGACATGGGCATCTCGCCTCAAGAATGGGCAGCTCTGCATTCCTTCGAAGCCACCTCTGTTGTTTGGTGTCATTGGACCATTTGTCATACAAAAAGTGTGATTGGAGCAGTACCTCAATTGACTCCTCCTGTGTGGAGGTTAGAGTGCCATCAGGTCTTTTGATGAACTCCAAGACTGCTATGCTTTAACTTCCCCATCACCAACTTGTAGGGGAGACAGAACAGGTTTTCATCACTCGCTTGTTGACAGAAACTGAGTCATGAGGCCTTTTTGGCACTGTTTAACTTGTATTTGTACTCGGCATTGGCACCCTGAAACTCATTTCCTGGATGCCCAAAGGTCCTCGTCCATGTGTTACTGAAAGCATCAACAGAGCACCCTTGTGCGCTTCTTCAGGACACTCAGCTCCTGGGTCCACCAAGAAACTGACCAGTGAGAAGTGGACTGCCGTTGCATGAGTGTACAGTCTCCTGCAGCTCTAATCACTTCAGTTAAGTTGGCCATGACCTTCTCCAAGTCTCCAACACTCTCAACCTTACAGATTGACGTAACTATGTCAGCCATCGTTTCAGCAAGGCATTTGCTAAATTGATTGTGGTTTCTAGCAGCCAACTTGTAGCAACTACTTGGCCAGTGTCCGGTGAGCAACTCATCACCTTGTAGGCAATGAAGTGATAGTCACTACAGCTTTCTGCATTGATCATTTTCCACTGTGAGATAAGTTTTAGCATAGCCCCACTCACAATTGTCAGGTCAATCCAGCTCTCACACGCAGCAGAAGAGAAGGTAGCAATCCCAAACAGGTTGTTCAGAACATGCACCCACCAACTTTCCACTGCTTCCCCAGCCAGATCATCAATCAGGGAGCCCCACAACAAGTGTTTGGCATTAAAATTACCTGCCAGAACCACCTGATTTATGGGACAAAATAACCCTTTCGAGTTAACTCAGAAGGCTGCCGATGTCAAATCACAGTGGGCAATAACTGGAGACTACAACCCATGTACAGGTGGGCAACCGTATTTCTACGGCCACCACAAGTCACAAGCTGTGGATGGCATGTGCATCGACATTACTCCATGTCAATACTACTGTGGCACAACAGTCATTACCTTCTTAGGCAAGAATGCTCCACTGAAGTGATAAGCCAAGTATTCACATTGCTCAAGAATAATATTCATATTTCTCAAACCAAAGAACACATTGCACTTTACAATTGCCATCTTAACTGATATGCTCAATTTGGTGCATAACTTTTGCTAGTTGCATGTCTAACTGTTTCCCACCTTCACTTATAACAAATAGTATATAAAAATACTTTAAAAATTGCTCTTCAATTACATGTCTCATGTCTCTGTTGTGTTTCCTTGCAATGTTATAACAGTTTTGAAACATAACCATATTTACAGACATACTGTATATACAGGATATAGATTGTGACTTAGATTGTAACTTAAAGGTGATGAAGACCCAGGACTACTCATAGGTATTGCCTGGGGTGAAAGGGATTAAGAGAAGAGGCAAAGGGGAAGTTTGATGGTGCCTGCATCAATTTTTTACTGATAAAGCAAATTTACAAAAAAAAAAAAAATACAAAAGACATATATTCAATACACCAATAGTTGAAGCACCCTTTTTGGGTGAATACAATAAAGAAAATATGTAACAACATAATGTAAATGAATAAAAATTACAAAAGTAATACCAAATACGGAATTAGACAAGTCACTGTTTTTTCCTGACAGTAAATAACATTTGTATACAACATTCTTGATGAGTCTGGAATAACAATTGAGTCTGTACAGAAACACAAAACTTGAACAGGGTTAGAAAACACTGAAGTGTAGAAAAGTGTGGTCCTGTTGTGACTCAGCAACTGGACTTGACGACTTGGAAAGCACTAGTTGTTAGAGTTCTGAACGTCCAGAGCTCCTGAGCTCCAAATGAAGTCATAAAGTTCTTTGTATATGTTCTTATTCGAAATAAGAACTTCTGTCTGACAGGGCCAGTTGTGACCTTCCTGTAGCACTGTTTGTAGTAATTTATTACATCCTTGATCATAATTTTTACAATGAAAAATTAGGTGAAAGTACGTGAAAAGTACTTGACGTGAACTGTTATCACAACTGCAGATGGATGTATCACTGTGCTGAAATCTTTCCAGATATGTGAGAAAGTTACCTTGGCCACTTAGGAGTTGACTTGTAATGAAATCCACTCTAAGATGTTTCCATTGCAGCCTTTGTGGGATGTTGGGAATTAATTGGAATGTAGTTCTACCACATTGCACATGGCTACAGTTCACTTCTATTAAGCAACAACTAAGTTCAATTTCATTGCAGTATATATAATTGGTAATGGCTCTTAATTGGTTTGGACACTACATATCCCAACTATTTGCATGGGGACAAATCTTGCTAAAACGTCCAAAGTGAAACAACTGGACAGACTGTCTGTGGTCTTATATACTCAAGGTCATGCAGAGAAGTTTCATCACACACTTTTTTTAATGCTGTCTAGTCACTTCCCCTCTGAATATTTTACTCTGACAAAAACACTTTGTATTGAGCTTGAGATGCTATACAGCTCTGTACTTTAAACTATGCCATTGTCTTTCACAGGATTCAGGATAAGATTATAGGATTTTTCTCCATGCAAAGGAGTTGGAAGTGTATGGCATCCAAACCAACAAATAATCCACTAAAAACTACCATTATTCCAATGTACTTGCATTTAGTTATTATAAATCATATGTGAGATACAGCCTGCTGTAATGTTTGTGTTCACACTCTTATATAAGTTGTTTGTGTTAGCATATGTAATGTTGACTAGTCTAATATTTACTTCCTTTGATTACTTTTTTATTGTAATTACTTTTTTTAATACTAAATTGTTACCAACTACATAAAATCAAACATAAAAAATATTTCTTGGGCCTGTAATAACTTTTTCATTAGATATTTGCTGTACTTAAAGACAATAATGATATAAACATAAGTAAACTATATTATAAAATAAATTCTCCAATACTCTGTTTAACAATACATTAAAAAGGGTTTATTGTTGATTTGTAGTGCAAATTAAACACCAGAACATCATTAATTATTATCTAAAATAATTCAAAATTCTTACATTTCAATTAATACTTAGTTATATTGTTGAAATCATATACAGGTAGCCCTTGGTTTACGCCGGTTCAATTTACGCCGATTCACAATAACGCCGCTGTGCAATTCGCTGTTTTGAGGTGTAATTCCCCGATTTTCCCTATGCTAGACTGATTTTCATTTCAATGTTGACATATTTACCGAGCCGTGACATTGTACATTCGTTAAAACAAAGATTTTCATTAAATATATTTATTTTTTCTGTTTAATATTATTGGGTATGTATACATTTGCATTAAATTGATATTAAAATACTAAACGTTTAGGTACCCACGAGTCAAGATATTAAACTTAATAGTCCAATAAATGACGTCCAAATCCATAGCGCCAATGAATGTATCCCGTATCAGTTCATTCAGGAAAACACCTTACGACGCAATAGCACTTCCAGCAATCACAAATTATCCGTTAGTGAGACAAATCTACTTCTCATTGACCAGACGATATTTATCTCTCCTTAGCCACCTTGAATTTTCCCGCTCAAACTGACCATATATATATATGCACTACGGTGACCGGTGGTCGACCAATCAATGTCTTCGTTCGTCTGTAGTTCTATGTTGGGTTAACGTATCCTTTCAACTAAGGAAAGTTTGACGGATGAAGTTTGTGAGTTAGACAATGTTGGGAGCGAAGTGAAAATGTAAAAAGGAGCATCATATTCAACCATATTCCGAAATTCTTAATGAAAGAAATCAAAAATGTAAACAATTAAAGATGGATACTTTTTTCCAAAAAATGTAATAAATTCGAAACTAAAATTTTTAAATAAAAACATTTTACTTTATTTTATGATAAAATACATTTTAAAAATTAAAAATTTATATGTATTTTGTATTATATTGTATTAATAAACAAAATTATTAGCTTATTTTTCACTTATGTAGAACCTAACCCTATACCTCACTGTAAATACGGGTTCGTTTTACGCCAATTCGATTTGCGCTGGCTTTTGTAGGAACGGAACTGCGGCGTAAACCGAGGGCTACCTGTAATATTAAAAAACAGAATATTCTGTTCTTCAATATTATAGTTTTAAAAAATATTTTCATACCATATACTTATCCTTGGAACTTTTAGAATTCAAAAAACTTCTACTTGTTTCTTGATTTAAAACAGACACTGGATTGTCAATCTGAAATAATAAAATTTTAAAAATAATAAACAAAATTTTTTCATCTGTAGAAAATCCCTAAAACAGATAATTAATATCTTATATGTACATAAGATTTAAAATCAAAATTTTATTTAAGATTTTGTGCACTTTTATATATATAAATTGCAAATACAGAAAATAGAGAGACTAAAGAAAGAAGTCTTAAAATTTATTCTAGATTAGCATGTTCTTAAGCTTTACTCTCAGATAAAAAATAAAAAGTAAACAAAAGTGAACAATTAGTGTTTCAAAATTTCAAACTTTTTGAAATTATGTTTTGCACTAGTATTTTGATATAAAAATTTGGAATAACCTCAAAAATAAATTTTTTAAAAATGAAAAATGAACATAGTAAAAATAAAAAAAATTATGTCAAAACCTATAATTTAATAACAAACTACATGCATTCTTTCACAATAAATCACACTAACATTTATCAAATCAATACTTCAATAATCAGAATAATTTTCAGCTGTACTTTATAACAAGATTTAAAAATAAAATGAAACTTAAATTTGGTATCTTAAGGAATCACATTGACAAGAATTTAACAAATACAGTCGACCCTCTTATAACACTGTTGATTATTCCGTTTTATACGAATTCCATGTTGTACGAGTCACTTAGATTTTACAAATATGTGTGCCGGACTGTAAACAGTCCATGTATTTGTAAAATTGAAATGACTCGTACAACATGGAATTCATATAAAATGGAATAATCAACTGTGTTATAGGGGGGTTGACTGTAATCAAAAATAAAGTCCAAACTCAGAAATGTAAAGCTAAGCTTATGTTTCTTTTTTTTTTAATTTACAAAACATTTTAGAAATACTAAATAAATAAAGTGTAAATTTTTTGAACATTATCCTGGTCATTTTATTAATTACATTTCTTTTTTATTAACCACAGAGTCAGTATATGCAGTGATTTTAAGTTCTTTAACTGTCCTCAACAGATGCTCTTTGGATGCCAGCAAACATAACAAAATAACATTCAATTTAATCTCCACATTGTTAAGAGACTTCTTCAGATAGAATTCTTTTTAATGACATGTAATTATCCCTTAATCTTCACATCAAAAGTGATTTGTACTTTCTATATCATATTTTGTAATGGCTTGAGATCTGTAGACTAGTCCAAGTATACGAATGCCTTTTTTCGGTCTCATATAGACCTTTTTTGCTTATTACAAGTAACAACATAGTAGAATTTCTAACTGCAATTGTTTTCATTACCAGAAAAACATTAATGTCTTAAACTGATTTATATCATGCAGATCTTTGATTTTATGAAAGTCGTTAACTAAATTATACTTTAATTCAGTAACAAAAAACAAGTTTAACTGAACTAATATTTTCAAAATTATTTAAAGATCATCATCAGATTCTAATGATAGAACAGAAAACAACTTTAAAAAGCATAAATAATCAAACAATTCAAATAATATTATCAATACATATCACATGCACAAGGGTTGAATATACAAATTGGTTAATATTTAATATAAAAATTAAAAAATGAATACATAAAAATACAGTAGACCCCCCTTATAAAACGGGTTCATATAGTTCGGATTCCTACATGACGGCGAAAAAATTGCAACAGTATTCATACAAACACGCTAAAAAAACTCATATAATTCGATAAAACATCATCGCCGACTCATGTCGTGACAGGATTGGTCAAATCTAGATCAATAGTGGATATTGTACAAACTGTTGAGTTTAAACGAGCAGTGGACCTACTAAAAACCATTTATTATTTAACGTCCATAAACATTTTATTTATATTAATGATGTCTCCAAAGTTCAGTGAATTTTTCACAAAAAAAAAAAATAATTTATCAAGAAGCAATCGAGTGCCATTCGATGAGAAGCTCCACAACGAAAACAAGCGTAAGCAATGGCGTCGTCTAACAGTGCACACTCGGTAAGTAATCCTACAATTTTTTTGTTTATAGCATAGTTTATATGGATTATTCCCAAAAAATTATACGTATTTTGAACATGTTGAGTCGAATTAGTCTAGAATCGATTAATTTTATGAAAGAAAACCTTTCAAACAGACGTAGTCCGTAAACTGCATATGTGCCGGGCTGTAACTGGCTCATGTATTTAAGGACTCGTAGAAAATGGATTTCATAAAAACCGGAACATTTCTACCGTGTTATAGGGGGGGTCGACTGTAATTAAAATAAAATATTTAAAGAAAATAACTTAACTACCCTTTACTAACCTTTAACATGCAGTCTATTTTATTAATGTAATCTAATGTTTTCAATCAAATTAACTGACCTTTGTCAGGATCAAACAAACAATTTTTTGATTTATGACAAACATGCTAGAAATATGTATATAGTATATATAGTATGTAATGTATAAAAATAAAATGTTCTATAATTGGTTTTCAATTATAGAACATTTTAACTTTAAACACTTTCTCATTGTTTATTGCACAAGTCCAAAAATAAATAAATAGAATCTATGGATTGATAATATACAAATATATGCATATAATAACACACAAAAACACTACTTATCTATAGAAGAAGTCACAAAATAACTTAAAATAAAAATACATACAAAATGAATATAAATAAAAAGTATATTACATAATTGAGTAAACATATTACAAAAGGAGGTTAAATTAATAAAAGTGTAACAGAGAGATGATAAATAAAACTAGACAACTTCAAACAAATCCTTCCATGCATGTAACAATGACACTGTATCTACTGTTAACTGCAGTCCCTTTATTTGTTCGAGTTCACAAGTTGTTATTCGTTGATTTTTAACAATTTCTTTTCATCAGCAGCTTTTAGGCACAACACACTTTATTCAAAATTTCTTGAACGAAACTTTCAAAATCACATTTAATAAACATTTAATATGTCTAATGTATAGGAGCATCTTCCCCATACACTACGAATATTTTTTACTATTTGTACAGTATTATATTCGTAGTGTATGGGGAAGACGCATCCTATACATTAGACATATTAAATGTGATTTTATACCTGATGTGCATTTTATCTGCAAACATTTCAATTTGATTTTACTCAAATAAAATGTGAAGTAAAAGGTTTTAAAATAAGTTTCTAAACAAAGAATATAATATCACATTAATAGTAATGTGTTAAATTTCACAACTATTGTAATTAAAACAACTTATCTATAGAGGAAATCACAAAAATAGTAAATTTACCAACACCTTATTTCCTAAGAAAAACATATAACATATCTATATTAAGTAAAGACAGCTATTAAAGCTGTGTTAATTAAAACTTTTGCTGTATATAAAGGGATTGCTGCAATTAATTTTTCACATTCATCAAAACCACATTAAGCAAAAGATACTTGTATTGTACAAACTTCCATAGTCCTTACTAATGTTTCACATAGTGTTTTAAGTTTAAATGTCTGTGCAAACTACTGAATTTTATTTACTGCTATTTTATTATTATTTATATTTTTTACTTTACATTTTTACTATTTTTGGTCATTATATTACATTAACTACCTTTTATTTTAGTTTTATTTGTATCTTGTTTTTTATTTTTAGTTTTGTTTCTTAGTTTATGCACAGATATTATTATTTCATGTTTATTATAATTTTTGTACATACTTCAAATATCGTTAATTTAAAAATATCTGTTTATTTGTTTTAAAAAGTATTTGAATTTGTAATGTAGATCAATTATATTCAAAAGTTTATGCATGAACAGTTCTTCCATTTGAATTACCAGAACATTGAATGTTGATCTGAAGATAGGATTAAGTCCTGAAAAGTGCTTAATCCAAATAAATATCCTGACTCCTTTACCTTTTCAAGTTTTTTTCTAACATTTAATTTAGTGCACTATCATTAACCGAAAGCTTTCCAGTCGGCAAATTTAAATTTCCACTAGTGCTTGTGGTGCTGCAATCTTTGGCTATGTCTTGGGCTACTCCAATATTATTTTTGTTGGTGTGCATGTTTTAGCTGGCAACACTGGCACAACCCTGAGAAAGTACTTAAGGACATGCCAGGATTTGAACGAATTTAAACATGGGTTAGGTTAATATATTTTTTCATACATAATCGGTTATCTGAAAAATCGATTTTCCGAACAACCCCAGTCCCCAATGATTTGGATAATCAATGCTCTACTGTATTGCTAAACAGATTTATCACAGTAGAGTATATCATTCTACTTGCAGAAATTTTACATGAATTACATAGGAAACTATATTTTTTTTCTTGTTACGGAGAGATTTAATGTTATATCAATAATCATGACACTGAGATTTGACTGTATTCCATGTTTAAAAAAGTTTATTTAAAATTAAGATTATATGTAATAATCAAATCCTCAACTGTAAAAAGTTTTGATTAAAAAAACCAATTTTAAGTTATATTGAATTTACATCTTCTAATGCAAAGATGCTCATACGGGCAAGTGGAGTGGCTGTGTCTTAATCTATAGATCTGTATGCTTTGGTTATCCTAGTTCAAATCTCAAATTTTTAAAAAATTATAAAAAGTTTTTTATTTTTGCATGAAAAATGAGTTACATTTTTTCACCATCAGATTATTACTTTTTGTATTTGCTTACTGATTTAGCTTCCATATTTCTATTCTATCAATGCTTCACTTTAATCACCCTCTCATTTGACTAACAGTGTACTTTTATTATATTGCTGCAAAGTTTCTTATAAAATAAACAAATATGAACCACAAATTAAAGAAAATGGAAAACATTCCATTTAGCTGGGAACTAGCAATGTCATGATTGTGTTAAAACTTACATTGAGTTAGAAATAAAAATCAAATTTAGGCCTACTCCTTGCAGTTTTTTGTTTCAATTATGTTTGTCACAAATGCTTCATTTCAACAACTTCCAAGTCAGTTGTTATTAGTTGATATCTTTGGACAATTCAAGTGTTTTGAAAATAGAGAATTGTTATAAACAACTGTTAAGAAATCCAATTGTAGGCATAAATAGTACACATTTACTAATTTATTTATTAAATAAGTAAATTAGTAATCAAATGCAAAAATAAATAATTTGGTATTGAAAAAATTTAATTTTTATTTTTTGTATAAAAGGTGAATTACAAAACTTAAAAATAAAATCAAAAAAACTCTTAAAAATTGAGATTTGATTCTAGGATAGTCATAAGATATGAACTGTCCAAGATGTAACCACTATATCACCCACTCTTACAAGCATCTTTGCTCCAGGGCATATAAAAACAATGATTGCATTTAGCAGACTCAACTATTGTGGAACAGATTAGTATTAATTTGCTTAATGATCTCTGTAGTGGTAGTAATATTGAATGTGTTGAGTGTTTTGATGTCATACATCATTCACCAGGTACAGGATCAGTACTAGGGTTTCTCATTTCCCAGTCTTTTGCTTGTCCCGGAATTCCGGGATAAAAGTGAACTATTTCCCGGAATCCCGGGAAATCCTGGGATAGAATCAATTATTTTTAAGTATACAAAATATCTTGAAATTAAATGATATAATTATTTTTCATTTTTTTAAAGTAATTTTAATGTTCTGTATCATTCAAAATCATATTAATAATGCTGTGTAAGATNATTTTGAGACACACTCATCTTTGTAATTTAAATTGTGCCTCTATGTTTCATATAAGCTCTAGTGAGAAGTGGAAATGACAACTGCACTATTAAATAGCCCACTACTGATTACTTATATTCTCATGTACTTTTATTTAGCTAATATGTAGCAGAAGCAAGATATATTCTGGTGCACAATGTTTTATCTATATCCTACATATTTTGAAAATTATAGTAGTGATATATTTTGAGTTAAAGAGTCAATCTGTTAAAGTCATTTTTGCAAAGATTTTAAGTTGGTAAAATTACATCACTAAGCACATAACCTTAACATATATTAAGTGTTATATGTGCATGTGAATGTCATGTGTGAGACATAGGATACTTAGTAGCATCCTTTCTTACATCTAAATCTCAATCATTTTTACTATATTTATATATTATAGAATGTAATGTGTTTTTATAAAATAAAACTATACAATTTATTATTTATTACTTGTGTTAACTTTTTCTTACTTGAATATTGAATTGGTCCATCATGTGTACTAATTCTTCTCTTCTAGTAGAAATAATTTCACCTAAAATTATGATATAAAAATATTAAAAAATTTGAAAATCAATATTCAAGTATATTGAATGATACTAATGTTCATTAATGTTAATTCATATTAAATAAATATGAAACACAAATCACAAAGTTCACTCTAATTTCAGCACTGGAGTAAAATCCTGACTTCCCTAAACCTGTTACCGGTGCGCAACACATAAGATATATACAGCAGGTGACAAACATTTTCAAACTATCTTGCTGAGAGAATTGATAGATAGTTCGAGATAGTTCGAAAACGTTTGTCACCAGCTGTATATATCTTATATGCATTGCACGCTAGTAACAGGTTTAGGGAAGTCAGGATGAAATACAAATTATAATGATTAAAAAAATTTTAATTTATAAATTCAGACAACTTTTCTAAATCAAATTTTTAATTATTCTCTAAATATCTACAAGGGTGGTTCAACTTCTATCCAGAATTTCAGTAATAGAGATTGTGTGTGTGTGTGTGTGTGTGTGTGTGTGTGTTTTGTTGTCCCAATTTAATGTTTGTTTCTCTAGGTACAGTACATCCTATCCACTAGCTTGCTGACACTTATCATTTTGGCAATGATATTATGCTTGAAAAAGAGTTTTTGGTTGGTGTTGGAGTTACTAAATGATGAACTCTCCAACTTCAGCATTCTGGGTGAATCTCCTGTCTCCCAAGGTTTCATTTGAAGGATCAAACAAGTGATAATCATATGGTGACAGATCCACAATGTAGAGTAGATTTAGAATTTCTCAATCAAGTTGGTTGATTGCATCCATTGTGCATAAGGTCATACTCCAACACCAGCCAAAAGACTTATTCTATTCTGTTATCACATTCATAATAATGTAATTTCATTAATGTCTCTTACAAAAATGTTTCTAAAACTGAAAGTTTGTTGTTGATAATTTATATACAATTTTCATTACAAACACATTAAATAGCTAAATATAAAGTACTGTACATATTAAAACAATGATGTTACATACTGTATGTTACTTATCTTCCTCTCTTTTTTTTTACCACAAATAAGCCACGTATTGATTATCGACCATTTGTGACATGCCATAACGAGCAAAAATTTAAAAAAAACCTAATAGTTAGGTTTAAAATTAATAAATACAAATGTATTCTGACAGTGAATAAGATAATTATGCTTTTTATTTGCAAAATTTCTTAATCTTAACACAAAATAAGAAAAAAAGTGAATTTTTAAGAAATTTGTGGGATTTCCTGGGATATTTCCCAACCGGGATCCTGTTTGAGAAACACTAATCACAAGCTACCACTACAATCAGCTTTAACAGTTGAGTCTGCTGAATGCAGCCAATGGAACTTAAAATTAATTCTTTTTTTTCTTAAAGTTGTTTATGATTGTGTATTTCTCATTAATATGTATAACTGTAATTTTACATGAACTGTTATTTTAAATTTGAAATATTTAGAAGTTGGGTTGTCACTTCATTTCTTTTCTTGTTAGATCTATACTATTCACTTAACCACTTCTTGTCCACTTTTTTCAAAAAATTTTTAATTAAGCATAAAAAATACTTAAAACTGAAAAAAACGAAAGAAATGTGTTAATTTTGGTTAAAAAGCTTCATCATTTAGTTTCCTTTGTCTCCTCTTTCTGTGAAATTTGACACCGATGAGTCATTGTTTACACATGTGGATGACCTTGAGAACAGCTGATGTCCTATTTCCCGGGACATTCTCATAGACGTCTCGGGAGGAGAAGGGTTTAAAGTAGGGTGACTAGAAACTAAACCTATATTTTTAAATATTTTTAAAAAATTAAAATTTTTATTGCGATTTCTGACCCCCCCCTAATTAATTAAACATATATATAGTAAAATCTATTAATTAAAAAAATTAAAAAACTATTGGAAGTCGTTTTTGACATCAGAAAGCAGCTTTAAATAACTTCACCGAAGGAAAATCGGTGCAATACAACTTTAGAACGATCAATTAATTTTGATAAAAATTCCCATTAAAAAAACATTAAAAAGCAATAAAGAGTGAAGCGCGTGTCATTAAAGGTTGATTAAAATCACGATAAAATTTTTTCACGTGGGCAAAAAATTTTGAAAAAATTTGGGGACCTAAAAAACATTTCAAAAATAAAAAAAATAATTTTTCGGGGGCCCAAACGCCCGGTTTTTTTAACGCTATAAACCTTGCTCGAGTCAGACTCGAGTTAATACATGATAATGACAAGATGCTCTGCATGGCCTTGAGTGCACAAGATTATGCAGAGAAACCTCAACACAATTTCCCCCATCCATTTTTTGACTGTATTTAGATGCTTCCCCTCTGAGTATTTTAACCAAACAAAAAATGTTTTGTACTAATTTTGAGACACACTCATCTTTGTAATTTAAATTGTGCCTCTATGTTTCATATAAGCTCTAGTGAGAAGTGGAAATGACAACTGCACTATTAAATAGCCCACTACTGATTACTTATATTCTCATGTACTTTTATTTAGCTAATATGTAGCAGAAGCAAGATATATTCTGGTGCACAATGTTTTATCTATATCCTACATATTTTGAAAATTATAGTAGTGATATATTTTGAGTTAAAGAGTCAATCTGTTAAAGTCATTTTTGCAAAGATTTTAAGTTGGTAAAATTACATCACTAAGCACATAACCTTAACATATATTAAGTGTTATATGTGCATGTGAATGTCATGTGTGAGACATAGGATACTTAGTAGCATCCTTTCTTACATCTAAATCTCAATCATTTTTACTATATTTATATATTATAGAATGTAATGTGTTTTTATAAAATAAAACTATACAATTTATTATTTATTACTTGTGTTAACTTTTTCTTACTTGAATATTGAATTGGTCCATCATGTGTACTAATTCTTCTCTTCTAGTAGAAATAATTTCACCTAAAATTATGATATAAAAATATTAAAAAATTTGAAAATCAATATTCAAGTATATTGAATGATACTAATGTTCATTAATGTTAATTCATATTAAATAAATATGAAACACAAATCACAAAGTTCACTCTAATTTCAGCACTGGAGTAAAATCCTGACTTCCCTAAACCTGTTACCGGTGCGCAACACATAAGATATATACAGCAGGTGACAAACATTTTCAAACTATCTTGCTGAGAGAATTGATAGATAGTTCGAGATAGTTCGAAAACGTTTGTCACCAGCTGTATATATCTTATATGCATTGCGCGCTAGTAACAGGTTTAGGGAAGTCAGGATGAAATACAAATTATAATGATTAAAAAAATTTTAATTTATAAATTCAGACAACTTTTTTAAATCAAATTTTTAATTATTCTCTAAATATCTACAAGGGTGGTTCAACTTCTATCCAGAATTTCAGTAATAGAGATTGTGTGTGTGTGTGTGTGTGTGTGTGTGTGTGTTTTGTTGTCCCAATTTAATGTTTGTTTCTCTAGGTACAGTACATCCTATCCACTAGCTTGCTGACACTTATCATTTTGGCAATGATATTATGCTTGAAAAAGAGTTTTTGGTTGGTGTTGGAGTTACTAAATGATGAACTCTCCAACTTCAGCATTCTGGGTGAATCTCCTGTCTCCCAAGGTTTCATTTGAAGGATCAAACAAGTGATAATCATATGGTGACAGATCCACAATGTAGAGTAGATTTAGAATTTCTCAATCAAGTTGGTTGATTGCATCCATTGTGCATAAGGTCATACTCCAACACCAGCCAAAAGACTTATTCTATTCTGTTATCACATTCATAATAATGTAATTTCATTAATGTCTCTTACAAAAATGTTTCTAAAACTGAAAGTTTGTTGTTGATAATTTATATACAATTTTCATTACAAACACATTAAATAGCTAAATATAAAGTACTGTAATATTAAAACAATGATGTTACATACTGTATGTTACTTATCTTCCTCTCTTTTTTTTTACTTATGTCATGTAAATAAAGCAGATTCATCAATTTAATTCCTGCCTTTGAATCATATTTCTCCCATGCATAAATTCCTATACCAAAGAGGACTGACAAGAATGAACTTGATGTTTTCCTCTCCTGAATGTCTCTCAATTCCATCTTACCTTTGCTCTAAGTGAAGAATAGATAAATAAAAAATTAAATGATACATCATTTAATTTTTTGGCCATTCTTACATATGTGTATATGGCAACTTGTGGCTTTTTTAAACATCAGTACACTTGCAACTCATTAGTTGCTTCTTAGGTATAGAAATTAATTTTGACAAATCCAAAAGGAAGACAAAAAGTTGACTTTTTGATATGAAAGACTGTTACAATAAGAGTTTATTCCAGACAGTAGACTTGTTAATAATAAAGCTTCAGCCACACAGACTACTATGTATGTTATGGATACTACAGTTGTTAAAAGCAAAAAAAAAATAACAATCACCACCAATATTAGACAATGGGAACAGTTACAGTGCACCTTGGACACTACATATGCTATGATACAATGTTTGGACCCACAGCTGATGATCTGTCACAATGGAGTTTTGGTAAACATTGCCAAATACTTGCATGCGCAAAACATGCATTCTCATTGTTTGTATACCAGTTTCATTACAATATGAGTCTTCTACTTCTGTACATATGTCAAAAGCTTTCATAAAAGAAATTTATAAATAGTGTTTATTAGTTGAAACAGCACAGACTAAAACATGTTATTTCAACTAATACTAAAAAGTTAATTAAAAGAAATTTAAACTTATTTAGAAATATGAGTCTAAATAAACATCTGAAGCACTGAGACATAATAAAATTTGAAATTAGAAACTAACTTTGAAAATTATAGTAGAAGATTAATAATGATTAATAAATGAAGAGAGATCTCATTGTAATAATTAATTTTATAAGATTGTCAACACTGCTATTTTCTGAAGGAAATTGCATAATTTATCAAAAAACATTATTGAAAGAAATGATGCTGTAACAATTAACAAAATTTTAATAGGTGATAACTATTCTATAAAATTAAGTAAAATTACTAATGTGTTTGTCAATAATTACAAAACATTTAATTCTTCTTCTGTTGATACATCTACTTCACCTATGCATAAGGTTATTAATTTCAACTCCTTTTACTTTCCCAGCTGTTATGTATAAATAACAAGGGAAAGTATTGGAATTGTGTCAAATTTGACCCTTCCAGTTTTTTGCAAATCTCCAAGTTTTGAAAATCCCAAACAAAAAAAGTCCATGGATATATGTGTTGGTATCTATTTCATTAATATCTTAGGATGAAGTAAAGATTAAAAAACAAAACTTGGTACAGTAGCTAGTATATAAGGGGCATAGATGTTATTAAGTTTTGGTAGTTAAAAGTCAAAGGGGTAGAGAAACAGAAGGGTTGTGTGTGTCATATCTCAAGAGAAGTTGGACTTAATGATTTTACTTTTTATTGAAATTTAGAATTTTTTTTATTAAACTCATCAATACCTTAAAAATTATGCTTTTTGCTATTTTATAATAATTAATAATATAAAAAATTTTTATAACAAAATTGCATAACAGATGACACCACATACAATTTTATTTATTATGATTAATTATATAAATGTTATTTTTAAAATATCATAACAGCTGGGAATGTTATGCAACTCATTGCCAGATTTTTGTTTATAGGTATAATTAAATTGGAATTTTATGAAGAAAGTCATAAGATCAAAACTAATGTGTACAATTGAGGGACTATATGAATATAAAGTTTGGCAGATATCCTATTGAAACTTCTACCTTACATATTTATCTGTTACATCTGTTGATTTTCCCCACATCAAGAATAAAAATACAGTAATCCTTACCAAAGATGTAAGGAAAGTAACCAGATGTAACAGATAAATATGTAAATTAGAAGTAATTACTGTTTTTTTTTTAAAATTGATAGATCAGATATGGCCCACCAGTGGCCAAGCAATTCCATTCCCAGAACACTGGGAGTTTGGATGTGGGTTTGCACTGCACTCAAACGAGCTGGCCACATGCAGTTTTCAGAGTTTTCTCCACATCTGTAATGCCTGAACAGGAGAAAGTTTCCCTTAACCTATCCCATGCTAAAATTTTTCTCTGTTGCATGTGGCTGCAATGTTGAATTTTTATCGATGTTAAGCCTAACGAAATTTTTTTTTTAAATAATAATCGTGATGTAAAATTTTTTTTTTTATTTTTCACAAACAAAGTAGATATATTAATAAATATAAAAACAAAAAACATTATATTTCCAAAGTTTGTTTTAATATAAAAATTATGACACATAGCGACATCTAGTATCAAAAATGTTCCAATGCAGAAACGAATATGTTTGGGGTCAACCGGGCAGGTGAAATGAGGTCAACACAAAAATATTTGGGAACACGGGACAGGTTAGAAGACCTCATGGAAAGCATTATTTCCATCGCATAACACCACTATTCAGAGCAGGCAATGGGGACTAACTAACCCAAGACTCACCTTGGCGCAACACTAATCACTAACTAACCTGCACCAGGTGCTCGCCAATGTCAGGATGACCTGATATGACATGAAGAAAAAGATGATCAGATATATGCAGTTATTGTCCTCTTGCATTAATTTCAATTATAAGCAAAACTTGAAAAACTTATACATACAGTATAACCTCTTATACACTGTCAGGACTGAGAAGTTTGTCTGCTATTTAGAGATGTCCATTAATCGGAGTACATTCTGGTGGCCATATTGTATTTTAACCTGGTCATTATATAAGTAATGAATATAATAGATTACAAAACCATCAAATTTGCATTAGAAATGTGAAAATACCAAAAACTACGTACTTTTGGTATTATATAAATATGATGACTATGATGATGTATGAGGAATATGAAAATACCAGAAAGTACATACTTTTTGGTATTACTACTCTCCACATCAGACTCATTTTTTTGGTACTGGACAATCACATGCAACAACAGTTTTGAAATTGGGCAGTACTGGAAACAGAGTTGAAGGATTTCTTCACTTCTAAAGATTGAGACTTTTTGGAATGGTTTTACAAAGTTGTATCTCGTTGAGTAAAGATTATAGATTGTGATAGCGCTTACTTTATTGAATAAAAAATATCATCATTCACTTTTTATGTACATTTTAATTTTAACCTCAAAAGCTGCACAAACTGTTTTGATCACCTGATACATATGTTGCTAATTGTATAAAAAACTATGCATCCTACTTGCCTATCTGAAACTGTGAAAATAGTAACAGTTTGTTTTTTTCTCATTTTTTCTTTTTCTTTTTTTGTTGTACTTATGTTTAGGAGCTCAAAAAAGCTGTGCTATGCTTCTGTTTTTATATAATTTGTTAATTTTATTATTGTATTCATGTATGCATGCATGTAGTTTGAAATATAAAAATATTTGAATTTATGGAACGTATCTTCTGAGAAATACAGTTAAACTGAAACAACTTCAATCATATTCTTTGATATATAAAACATTCACAATTTGGAAAAAACAATAAGTCTTCACTTCATGTCCTTTCACAACCTCAGGACCAAAAGTCTTTTATAGGCAGAGTACCTTTTTCATATTCTTTGAATTTAGCTTTGTGTTTATAAAAATCATGCATCAAGTAATAAAATTCATGTATTCAGATCTCTCTTCATTCAATTTTTGAACCCATTTTATTTTTTATTTGAGAAATAGTAAAAAATAAAATATCATTATCAGAAAAATTCCTCTCCTACAGTACACTATAAACATCACCATCTCAAAGATTGGTGGAAAACAACCATAGCATAGCTTTCTACATGGCCACACAGTGTAGTGTCCATATCATAGCAGTCTGTATGGCTGACACTTAAATTCTATATAGGTATTCTTAGTTACCTCTGTGACACAGTAAGATGAAAACTACCTCACATCTATCAAGCAAAATGCTGGGATCTCCATCATGACAATGCTACAGTAAAGCACACTCTACTAGTTAGTAAACATTTGGCAAAACACCAGTTAACTATATGTCCAATATCCTTGTTCATCAAAAGTCACTTCTGCAAACTTTCACATTGTCACAAAAATAAAAGTTGTATTGAAGAAAAGCAAATTCAAATCAATAGATGAAAAATGCTGTGATGATTGCACTCAGGAAAATAGTTAATGCAGAATGGACTGCAAAACTGTCTCATTAAATGGTACAAATGTTGACAGAAGTGTGTGTAGCTGTAGAAGGTGTGCTTATTTTAAAAATGGTTTTCTGTAAATGTATGTACTATTTAATGTAATAAAAGTTATACTAAAAGTTTACTTTAATTTCGATTACAGTAGATCCCCCTATAAAACGGGTTTATATAATGCGAATTCGTATATAGCGGCGGAAAAATTGCAACCATATTTGTATAAACACGCTAAAACAAACTTGTAAAATACAGTAAAATGTCATTGCTGACTCGTGTCACGACAGGATTGGTCGAATCTAGACCAATAGCGGATATTGCACAAACCGTTGAGTTTAAACGAGCAGAGAACCTAATAAAAACCATTTATTATTTAACAGCCATAAAAATTATATTTACATTAATGACGTCTCCAAAGTTCAGCAAATTTTTTGCAGAAAAATAATTTATCAGGAAACACGTGCCTACCGTTCGATGCACCACTCCACGACAAAAACAAGCTTAAGCAATGGCTTCATCGAACAATGAACACACGGGGTAAGTAATCCTACAATTTTTTGTTTATAGCATAGTTTATATGGATTATTCCCAAAAAATTATAGATGTTTTGGAAATGTTGAGTCGAATTAGTCTAGAATCGGTTAATTTTATGAAAGAAAACCTTTCAAACAGACGTAGTCCATAAACTGCATAAGTGCCAGGCTGTGATTGGCTCATGTATTTAAGGACTCGTAGAACATGAATTTCATAAAAAGTGGAATGCATCTACCATGTTATGGGGGTGGACTGTACTATATGTATTATATAGTTATAGAAAGATTCTTAAAAAATTATTTTTTCATTATCAATATTTTCAGAAACCATTCTTAAATGGTCCTTCAAAATACTTTTGTATATCTCAGTTTAGTCAGTTTTTAAATTAACTTGTTAATTATTTTTATAGCTACTATACTTCTCTTTCTTCATGTATTTGGTTTTAACAAACCAACAGCCAAATTAAAGAGGTGATCAACTTAGGAAGGATTAAAAATAATGAGTCAAATGGGAATAAATATTCTGTTCCAAAAAAAAATTTGGTCATTTTGAAAGGTTTTACTGTACTTGTTATCCAATTTTTAGCATTCCATTATCTTGGCAAAATTTTGTTATTCACAGGAAATTTATGGAAGGAATTATCCTACAAATATTATATTAGAAATTATAAGAACAACTAGAGGTAGACATTAGGCATCATCTCTTAACTAAAGAAGAAACTATAATTTTAATTTTCAATTTAGAATTTTAGAATAGTCTAGAAAAGAATTGGCCCAGAGTGGGAGTCAAACTTGCAACCTCTGCTTACCATGCTGTGCACTGACCAGTTCTTTCAAACTATTCTATAATTCTAAATTTAAAATTATTATAATTTCTTTAGTTAAGAGATAGTGCCTAGCATCTACCTCTAGTTGTTCTTATCATTTCCAATTTAATATTTGTAGGATAATTTCTGCCCAATCAATTCAGCTGTTGGTTGGTTAATTATTAACACATTCTGTTATTGCAATGTTGATATATTTGGTTTTAGTACTTATATAAATCAATCCTAAAATAAAGTATTATAATGCTTTATTCTATGAAAATCAAGAAAATAGCAAGAATTTATAATTTACTAATCAAAATAAAAAAAAAAAGTTGTATTGAGATTAACAGCTTTATGCATAAATTTTTTATAATTAGAAAGTATGCATTGTAAAATTATTTTTATTAATCTAAATATAAATAACTTTATTCTTTTAAATCACAAACATTACCCATTTCATTTTTTAATTTATAGGAACTAGAACCATCTGATGTTATCCTTCTTTCAACAACTATTGAAGATCCATAGAGTTCAGTTTTATATGCATCAGGACCACAGTTTCTGATTTTTATAGCAATTTCTGCAGTTCTAAAAAGAATATTAATTAATTAAACAATGTAATCATTTATGGCAACATTTAATTCAATAAATATCTTTAAAATACATAATTATAATAAATTCGGGCCTTAATTTAGCCACCAAATTTTCCAATAAGAACTCTTCCAATACATAAGCTAAAACTTATGTATAATAAATCCACCATCCACACTTTCTCCAGAAGCAACATTTTAACATATGAACGTTTTCAGCCCTATTTAGGGGGCCTGTGTCGATTTTAACATTTAGCAAATCAAATATCTATAACAAAATAAAAATTTGGAACAACTTTTGTGTTTTATTGACATCAGAAGCTTTTAAAATAGATATCTCCCAACTGTATATTTATGTAGATAGAATTATATAAATAACAAAAACTAAATTGATTAAATAAGCACATATTATAAACTATTAATATATAAATTATATTATTAGTTTTTATATTTACTTGTCAAAACTTTATTAATGCCAAAAGAATGACCTTAAACTTTTATCTAATAAAATAGATATCACATAACTTTAAAATTACATAAAAGAATTACAAAAGTGATTAAAGATGTATAAATAAAAATAAAATTACACAAAAGTATATAGGAATTGTGTGAAATATTTTAATGGTTGCTGCATTGTTTTGTAGGGTTACATAGTATTGATTACCATGCTGAAGAAATGGATATGTATTCTTTGTTACTGATACAATTTCCTTTAAGAGTTGCTGCAAATATCTCAAAAATTTAAATGCTGGTCTCACATTTAAACATTAACACTTTTATTAAATGTTTTATTAAATATTAACACTTAAATTAATCGAACAGTATTCAAGCTACTCTCAAATGCTAAAGAGAAAATAGAAGCCAACAAAATCCATGGAGTATATTCAATACAACTGTATGACAAGAAATTTGATAATCATTTGATTTACATAGTATCAACAAATACACAGTGTAGATAGTTGACACAAAGACTCAAAGAACACCAGTATGATATTCACAGAAATAAGCTTAGTAAGGTGCTGGATCAGTTTGAATGGGAGCCAGGAATACCTCCTTGATGATTGGAGGCTGAAATTTTAAAACATGAATTCAATAGCTATAGGCTAAGGACCCTTGAAACTTTTGAGATATTTGCAACTCTTAAAGGAAATTGTATCAATAACAAAGAATCTATAACCACTTCCTTAGCATGGTAATCAATACTAGGTAACCCTACAAAACAATGTGGCAAGCATTAACTAAGATTATATATTTCACACAATTCCTATGTATTTTTGTATAATTTTAAATTTATTTATATGTCATTTATTTATTTTAAATACTTTGTAATCATATTCTAAAAACATAACAAAGAAAAACTTTCCTTTTGCAATAATAACATTTAAGCTTCTGAGATATCATCTGTAATTTTTAATATATTTTTTTTAATATTAAACCTTAATTTGTTTTAAATATTATGAAGTTCTAATCTGAAGATGCCTTAAATAAAAAAGACTAAAGTGCTTATTTTAAATATTTTTATAATCTGTAATATATTAGTTAACTACAAAAGTCATTTCAAAAACTTTCTAAAAACTTTCATAATATTATAAACAAACAAAACAATAGCAAAATAACACCAGAAAGTTTTCAAAGGATTTGGAAATTATCCTGTATTTCATTTAGGAATTTAATATACAGTTCTCTGTTAAATACTTTACATCAGTGTCACGTACAGTGTANAAACTTTCTAAAAACTTTCATAATATTATAAACAAACAAAACAATAGCAAAATAACACCAGAAAGTTTTCAAAGGATTTGGAAATTATCCTGTATTTCATTTAGGAATTTAATATACAGTTCTCTGTTAAATACTTTACATCAGTGTCACGTACAGTGTATGAAAATATCAGACAGATCTAACAATATTGCTAGAAAGTTATTTTGAATTTTTCTTTCTACACAATTATTATTAAAACTGTTAATTTTAAATAACTGATAAGTTAGTTAATTAGTAACTGATAATCAAAATTATACTAAAATTATAAAAGTTTATTTATTTATTGATCTAAATAAAACATTACTGTAGATATTTTATTCACCTTTTGTATAATTTCAACCAGTTTATTTTTAAACTAATATTTTCAGAAATTTTAAGTCTTTAAATAAAAAATAATTCATTTCCTGTAACTTCATTTTAATTCTAGTCATTTGCTGCATTATTGAATTGGAAAGTTTTTACTATAAACACTATTTTTGTCTAAAATAAATTCGTGTAATTTATAATTAATTTTAGCCAAATTCATTATGTATAAATAATAAATTTAGCATTTTTATTGTTAAATAAATTTATAATTTTATACAATCATAATTATTGTGATGAAAAATGTATCCAATTGGTACCATCAAGTATTCTCAAAAAACAACTACAGTAGAATCTTGTTTTAATGGATATCGCCTAAAATCATCTGTTGTTCTGAGAATCTGTCATATTGTGAACAAAAGATTTCCTGCAAACCCAGAAAAATACCCATTATTCAAAAAAATTTCTGTTTTCTAATCCCCTATATATAAATACCTGTACTTGAAATTATTCAGTCTCTTGAGATATATCTTCTTTATTCTACAGATACACATAAGTTACAAGATCATATATTATGTCATACATGTGTACAACCAAGCTGACAGAAACTGTATATACTGTTATGCACAAAAAGAGGCTAATTACATATGCTCATAAATACTTAACTTGACTTTGTGTGTTAATAATCTTGTCCATCTTGGTTTGTTTTAATGCTGCTTTTCTGTCTATTGAATACAACAACTGTTCAATATTAGCAAAGTCATGTACTGCCTGTTCCTTTATTCTGAAATTCATCAGAAATGTCTTCATGACTTGGAAAGACTAGATGGCTTTGCTAAATTTTGACACTACATTTGGACCAGAGTTAGAATGTTCACTAGATGACTCCTCGTCAATTGTATCAGCCTGATGACTCTCTCTTACAATTCTTCAATTGCATGTATCCCAGACATAAGTGCATCATCAAACTGTACAAATCCCAGAAAACACCCAAATATTAACTAAATGTTGAAAAAACACAAAGCTTACAACAGATGGGGCTAGAAAATAAAACTTATTCTGAGTTATGGATCCTCTAAAAGATGATAAAACTACATTGATTTGGTGGGACCTGGGAAAAAATCCATTATTTTGAGAAATCCATTGTTCAGTGATCTGTTAAAACAAGATTCTACTGTACTTAAAACTATTTTCATTTTTTTAGCTTTATGATTATATATAATATAATCATAAAGCTCAATAAATTATAATATAATTTATGATTATATATTAAAATAATAATATACATTTATATCAAAACAGATTTACAAAAACTCTAAATTTGAAATTCTCCACAAATTTTAGGCTTTATCAATGGCTCTTTGATCACTCTGCATAGGTCTAAGAGGAACATTACTCCAATGGGTACATACTCTGAATTAGTTTTATATTTTACTTCTATTTCAAGTTTAAAGCATAGACTAAAAAATAATAATATAAGCATTTTATATCAGAAACATTATTTTAATGATTAAATCAACATACTGTTTTCCATTTTTAATAAATCCTTTAAGATTTGTTCCTCTACCAGTAATATTAGCTTTTCCTCCTAAACCAACAACAATTGCTGTCAAAATAGCACTTTTTCCACCTGGAAAGGAAAGACAATTGATTAACTTTTCCAATAAATTTGAAAATATTTAACATTTATTTAACAATAAAAATGTATTTATTGATTTCTATGAAATTGTTATTGACATTTCGAAAAGGAAAAAGAACAACAATTAAAGGTTAAATTCATATTAAATAGGTAAATGTCTCTTCAATCCAAACAAATTTTCGGTAGACTTTCTCACAGCTCTACAGGTTATAAAACTCCTTTATTGTTTACATATGCATTTTGGGCAAGTTTAATTTTCTAGCCCCTCTTCAGTGCTACAAAACAAAATTCATACTGAATTTACACAAAAACAACTCAAGTAGAAAATGTTTACAAGACATAAAAAGACATTTTATAATACCTTAAGATACTCCACATGTTTCATCATCCTTTTCACAGTACTTGTACTATAAATTTGTTATGTTTTCTGTGAGAAGCCAAGGACGTAGAACTAAGTTCACGCCGCTTACGGGCACTCGATCGTGAGATCGGCTCTTGTAACTTTTTTATAGGAGAAACAACAATTAACACCTCAATACTACTTCCAGCAGTCAAAAGATTTTAATAATCTAACGTTTTCGGCCGTCTTTTAGAGGCCCTCTTCAGGATTAAAAAACAGTTCTATCTAACAGTTCTATTTTTATAGGAGGATGGTAAATACGTGAAACCGATCTAGACGGCGAAGTCCAGATCTATGTCAGGATTCCTGGACACCAGTTAATCATTTATTTTACACGCGGATTAACACGCGTGAGGGGTCTGATTCAGAGATCGAGGTGACATTATATTAACTAATAATAAAAGGAATTTAATAAACATATATATATGTTTATTATTTTGTGTCTCATTCATTTGTAACTCATTAAGTTGAATTCATTGTGTCTCATTCATTTGTAACTCCATTTGTATAGTTTTATATAAAACTATACAAATAGAGTTACAAATGAATGAGACACAATGAATTCAGCTTAAAATATATGTCGAGAGAGAAAGCTCACAATTTCATATTAAAACATACAACCTGTTAGTAGTCCTCCTTTTCCTCTGTATGTGACGTATTTACTTCTCTCCGGGGTTTCTCTGCCTTCTGTTCATGGAGAGATCAACTTAACTGAGAATATTTATGTCCATGGAAGTAAGCCTTTTGTATACTGTATTTGCTCATAGCATAGGGCGTTGGCTTTTAGGAGCTTGTATGGATTTCGTCTGAATACTCTGGAATCTGTTGACGAACTCCTCAGGGCGATGTGGAGCCAATATGGGAGACATCTCTCCTCTATGAGATTTTCTGACGAACTCCCCGAATTCGATTGAACTTCTCATTTATCTTCTGATTTACGACCAATTATCAGTCGAGACTTTATCCACGTGAACGGATGGGAAGAGGAGAAATGAGGGGTAAACAGTTTCCATCAAAGCAAGATTTTTAGCAGATAAGGGAAAAACAGAGGATACTCATACTTCCGTCAAAGGAAGTGACTCTCCTAGCTGTTTTCCCACGCTAGAAAAAAGTTATTTTTCCATCAAATTGGAAGAATATTTTTCGGGAAAGATTTTACTTTCCTTTTAAATTATTAATTTAGACCCGGAAGCTATTCGGATCTCACATTTCTAATTTATAATGTCTTTGACAATTTCCATTTTTTCTCTTAAGGGCGTTTTACATCGAAATCCATATCATTATGCTACACAACTAATTACAAATTATAATTATTAGTAACATTTTAATCACCTATTTATAACAAATTTTTTTCTTTAAAAAAGGTTATTTACAAAAAATACATACATACAGGTTTTCTTTAAAAGTGTCACAAAAAAACACACAGAAGTATATGTTGTATAAACTTTAAAAAAAGGTAAAACTGACAATAAAATTTTTACACGACAATGTATAATCCTAGAAATATATAAACTATTGACTTGTTGCACCCTCTATGATGTTATACCATTGTTGGTCAATTTGCATGCCATTTGAAATACTGTATTTATTAAATTATTACCATTGTATTTCATTATTTCTATGTGTTCTTTGAATTTACGTTTATATATATTTTTCTCGTAGTGTAGGATTTTAATATTATTCCTATCTATTTTGCAGTTACTATTTTTGATGTGGTTATACCAAGGTGAATTATCATGTTTTAACCGTATGGCAGCTTCATGTTCTTTTATCCGTAATTCCAATGTTTGACCCGTTTCACCTATGTATTCTTTAGGATTTTGACAGTCACAATTAATTTTGTAAACAGCTCTAAATTCCTTAAAAAAGACAATATAGTTTTGGCCCCATCTCTGAACAATAAAATCTCAAATAAAATTCATAAAGATACATTAGGAAAATACAAAACCAATACTGATAAATTGAAAAAAACTGGAACTGTTTACAAAATTAATTGCAACTGTCAAAATCCTAAAGAATACATAGGTGAAACGGGTCGAACTTTGGAATTACGGATAAAAGAACATGAAGCTGCCATACGGTTAAAACATGATAATTCACCTTGGTATAACCACATCAAAAATAGTAACTGCAAAATAGATAGAAATAATATTAAAATCCTACACTACGAGAAAAATATATATAAACGTAAATTCAAAGAACACATAGAAATAATGAAATACAATGGTAATAATTTAATAAATACAGTATTTCAAATGGCATGCAAATTGACCAACAATGGTATAACATCATAGAGGGCGCAACAAGTCAATAGTTTATATATTTCTAGGATTATACATTGTCGTGTAAAAATTTTATTGTCAGTTTTACCTTTTTTTAAAGTTTATACAACATATACTTCTGTGTGTTTTTTTGTGACACTTTTAAAGAAAACCTGTATGTATGTATTTTTTGTAAATAACCTTTTTTAAAGAAAAAAATTTGTTATAAATAGGTGATTAAAATGTTACGGGGGGGGCGTTCCGATCGTCAAAGCTGTTGGCATGAATTTTTTCCTACTTCCATACTTAGTCTAATTTTTCAAGTGATGAAGAATTTTGAATTATTTTCCATTAAAAGGAATAATATTAAGCTTCTTATTATATTGCTATTGATTGCTGGAATAGAACAAATCCCGGTCCCTTACAGAAGACTCCAACAAAGAGAGGAAGACCACCACTTACTCGTCAAAAATTGCTGACTAATAGTATTAAACCATTGGAACCAGATTCAAACCTTATCACTGATTATACTGAACCTAGAAGAGCCGAATCATTATTTCAAACAGGTGAGTTAATTAATTTAACTTCCTCACAAGAGCAATTACCTGCGGAACAAATAGACATTTCAACAGCAGAATTATGGAAGAAGATAGTCAAACTGATAACTAATAGTAATGATAAACTGGTGAGTCAATTTTCACTTATAAGACAAGAAATTAATATACAGTCGACTCCCCTATAACGTACGTTCCTATAACGACAATTCCTATAACGTAGCGAAAAAATTGTAGCAACTTTCGTATAACGTACCTCCTATAACGTCGTTTCGCGACAAGATTGATAGAGTCTGGACCAATAGTGGATGAGCAGCCGAACTACTT